ACAAATAAGGAAGCAAACAATAATAAATAATTAGTAAAACAAGTTAACAAAAAACACTATAGCAGCAATAGGTACAAATAACTGCTTTCGGATACACAATTATTTCTACTTAATAGCCTGGAGAATAATTTGAAACATATCCATTACCGCCCATCCACTAACCGTTAGGATAATACAATAGTCCTTCTAACCACAATGCATAATTGACAAGCATATTTAAATAGTCGATCCAGAACACAATAAACATGGCCTGAAGTTTGCGTTTAATCATGAAACAGACTGTCGCCGCAGAGTACTGACTTCTATCTCCATTTTTATATCTAGATACGCTCTATCATAGATATTGAGCACATTAAGCCATAAATACTGTAAACCTTAAAACAATGATTTTATATATATATATATATATATATATATATATATATATATATATATATATATATATATATATATATATATACGTACCTCTCTCTCTCTCTACACACACACACATACACATATATGGTATGCGTGTATTTCAGCAGCATGTTTTCATTTAGACAGGTTTCGTTAAATAATTTAGACACGTTCTGTCTGCCTATTTTCGATAAGATCCTTTCATATTTGCGAATAAGCTTTTTTCTGCGGTTGTTAAAAGACGAGAGGAAAACATCGTGTTAGCTCATATTTTATTTATTCCGTGTATTTTCGACATAGCAAAATATCATCATTAGGACAAAAGTTTTTTGTGGTCATCCGAAGATTACCATTTTTATACATCGAGACACAAACACAGTGTCATGGCTGGTTTACAGACACCGTTTAAGGGGAGGTAACTAGGTATGCTGTAGAAATGTTCCGGGTTTGAGTAGTTGCTAGATAAAGGAAAAACTATTAATGACAAGCGCTAACATTTAAAGACTATCTATTGTACATATTTTCAAATGTTTGTGGAGTATTCGTAATTAATTCATTGAGGTTTGGTTTCAATTTTTTTATATAAATAGCTTCGAGAAGTTTTAGTTTGTATTTATTCTTTTCGCAGAAAAGTATGGAGGTATTTTCGACGAGGATTTTTTTGAATTGCTAGTGTGGACAGGTATTTTGTTGTATGTGTTTTAGAACAGGACAGTTTAAAACTCCCAAAAATCTTAGACTGATTGCGTCTAAAGGCGAACTGCTAGCTCGTCGGAGGGGCAAGGACAGATTAATAATTTTCTTGAGGGCGAAAGTGAACGAAATAGATTAATAGCAAAATTGAACTCGGATCGATATCTCTACTATCCATTAAACTACACACACATTATACATTATGTCAGATTTTATCATGGAAGTCAATATGGTATTACCTAAAAGACGTTCGTAGAATATTCAAGACATACTTATATTTATGGTAATGATAATATTAACCCTTTCCTTATAAGCAATAATACTGCCAGTTGAAATTTATAAAAGATTTCTCTTAAAACAATTTTTCATGAAAATAAGTCTATTAGCTGTTATCGCTCTTTCCAGTAATCATTGAGGTTTCCTTCGTAACCTTTTATTTTAGGTAGTGTGGAATGTCAGCATCTTGATTATGTCATTATTTTCACTTCAAGTTGCATGTGCTAGTCATTTGAGTTGTTGCTACTGCTAAAATCCTCAAGTTATGTGTTTTTTTTTTATTAGAGACAATGTGATTTTTTAACGCCACAAAATTCTAAGAAGTTTGGCCTTCACCAAGAACCATAGGCTTTACTCCCTCAAAGCCGTTTTTAACCACTGATCTTAGACAGCGGACCAGAGAAATTTAATCATATAATATCTGTTTTTATTAGAAATATTTACAATAATTTATTTCTTTATGTGAGAGTTTTTATGCAATTTGAATTATGCAGCTGATATTTATTCTTATTTCCAGATATAAAAAGATCACCAGATGTTTGACAACTTTTCTGATCAGCACAACCTCCAGTTCCCTATCGAATATGAGGACCTGAATATACCATATTATGTGTTCCCTTCCGGGTATAAAGTATAAACCATAGGTAGGTTGCGTGGGTGTTGAACAAAAACAAACATAACTGAGCAGTAGTCGCAACAGTGTTTAACTAACCGCTCTAGCGAATGATCGTACTTGGAAAACGATTATCTCCCCATTATATATATATATATATATATATATATATATGATAAACAATAAAATCCCAAATCACTTCATATAGGGAATAGCCCATTTCAGCGAAGATATCGTTCGTCTGTCTTATCCACCCCGGTGTGGACTGAGTTCCTGTCAGTAATAGAAATTTAACTAATTTGACTAAATATATTTAGTTAGATTTATATTTCTGACACGAACTCGATCCACACCAAAGTTGATAAGATAGAAGACTTATCTCTTCGTCAGTCGAAATAGGCTATTCCCTATTTAAGGTGATTTGGGATTTTATTGTTTATTAATTATATTGCTCTGTAATAAATACATTGAGCTCTTTTTGTGGATCAGTTTTAATATTCCCTTGGATTATATACCAACGGATTTGATACCGTTACTACTCTTCGGTAAATAGAATCGACTTCTTTCAGTCACTGTGTGTTTATCTAAAAATAAATATGCTTAAATTCACCTTTATCCCTGCCGTCTGCCAACGGCTTAGTGGTAGAAACCCCAACTGACGCCAACACAGTCGGGTTTCGATCCTAGCTAGAGGCAACCGGACGTCTAGCCACACTGATGAGCTGTGATACAACGAAACAGTCTGTCTGCGGATGACTATATATATATATATATATATATATATATATATGAAGAAATATAGTCTTAAGATGTGCTATATTTATGGGATAAAGTGCTCAATATCAAAGATAGAGCGTGTGTAAATATAAAAGTGAACATAGAAGTCAACACTTAGATGCACAGTTTCATGCTAGATGCAATCGTCCAGGCCACGAGCGCTCTGACGATTGCATCTAGCATGAAACAAACTGTCGCCTCTAAGTGTTGACTTCTATGTCCACTTATATATATATATATATATATATATATATATATATATATATATATATATATATATATATATATATATATATATATATATATATATATGTGTGTGTGTGTCGAATACTACCCGGAGAGCACATATTTTTCTTTAATAAGATTTCTCGAACATTCAGGGCTGTAGACGAAAATAAATAAATATACTGTTTAATGAATAAAAGGAGCGTCTATTCAAATATGAGTATCCACTAAAAATAAAGTGACAAAATCTGTCGGATTGATAAATAAAAAAAAACATTTCCTTAGAAAATTACTTTGTTAAGGCTTGGATACAAAACTGTTCAGGATTGCTCCGTGGCCAAGTCAGTTAAGGTACGTTGGATCTCCCGACGATTTCTTTCTGCTCTGAGGGACACAGGTTTGAATCCTATCGACGAGCGTATATTTGAAAATTCAGGCCGGTGGACAAAATATTAATAAATAAATATACTGTTTAATACTTAAATATACTGCTTAATAAATAAACGCAACTTCTATTTAAATATGAGTATCTACTAAAAATAACGTTTAATATATATATATATATATATATATATATATATATATATATATATATATATATATAATACTATACAGAATGTTGCATCGTCTTACACACTCGGGATATATTTATTAAAGCATTTAAAATATTTTCTAATTAAAACTTGCTGCGTACTTAACACTTCTGTTATTGACTATATACATAATCCCAGGAGCCTGCTCTACTATTTTCGTGGCTATTTGCGCACACAACTCTGAGATTAGAAAGTAATAGCAGTTTCAGATTGGCATAACTCTCTCTCTCTCTCTCTCTCGCTCACACACACACACACAAGCACATATATGAGCCCACCCTCCTCCGATTTTTTCATCATTTTGTTTTGCAGTTGAGCTGTACAAAGCTTAAATCTTTCGCTCTGGAATAGCAGTTCAGGAGATAATCGCACCGCTCATTACGATAAAGTCAATTCCCAGCCTTGCGAAATTCTGGTCTTGTGTTGAAATAAACTACAGTTGTTGAATATCGATTGCTTACCTGGTGATAATTATTCATTAAAAAGCATGATTCGTTCGATCGTTTTTCAGTGTAGCGAGGTGTATCCTCACAGATCACACCAAAACCTCACAGATAGCTCCAAATCCTTGCACCAGACAAGTCTAATCTTAGTAAGTATAAATAAGTGTATATTTCAAAAATATATTTTTAAATTTAAAATTCTTAGCGTTTCCTTTACATTCATGCCCATGTGTGGTCGTATCAATATAAACATAAACTCCGTCAAAAAATTTTTTACACTTTGACATACTTCTTTACATATATATATATATATATATATATATATATATATATATATATATATGTTCTTTCTATATATATATATAAACGCTGGAAAACTAAATTATATATATATGTATATATATATATAAACTCTAAAAACTAAATTATATATATATGTATATATATATATAAACGCTGGTAAAACTAAATTATATATATATATATATATATAGTTTTTACGGCGTTCTTATTTTTCCATTTGGTGGAAGTGAGGGAATAGGAAAACTTGGCTCTTCGATTTTTCATTTTTAGTCCCAAATGATACGCCATGCGCATATACATCCCTTAATCCTCATCGGGTAAAAAGTGACGTCAGTTGGTTCCGAAACCTCTTCCAACCTTTACTCGGAAGCTAACAACCTGGTTGCAGCTCATTCGATTGTAGAGTAATGTTTCATTGAATATTATCCACTCTTTACAGGTTATTTAAAGCCAGAAAATATCTTCAGATTGAAAGATGTTTTTTTTTAGATAATAATGATTTAGTGATACTTAGTTTTACTAATTAACCTCTAGATGAGGGGCAGAGGTAGATTCATACCTTTTCCAAGGGTATTTGCACGTAAGTCAATGTAACGAACCCAACTGAAATTGAAACTCAGCTCTCCGATTAAGAATTCTGAGTCTGAGCCATTATTCATTACATCAACCGCATATACAAACTTACAGCAACTGGTATTTCCAAAGCGGTCACCCATCTAGGTACAGACTAGGTTCTATGTTGCTTAACTTCGGTGATCGTCAGGGAACCAATGTTTCAACGTGATATGGCCGTAAGCCCAGTAATGTTTGAATGTTTCAGCAAATATTTGCGCGTCTTTATTAATATGTACACTTCAGAGAATTCCGACGCCTATGTGATGATGTTTCTGTAATATATGTATTATGCGTTTGTACATACATACGTAATATATATATATATATATATATATATATATATATATATATATATATATATATATATATATATATATATATATATATATATATATATATATATATAAAAAATATTATCATAATTACATATATATGTGTGTATATGTACAATACTGTGTATATATCTGTACATAAAGATTTGAGATAGGTAAATTACTCTCTAGTGAATTTAAATAAAGATGGGAAAGCAGTTTTCAAAAGGCTTATTAGTTCCGAAAAGTCTCCCGCTGGGTTTGAACTTTAAAACATTGTATTTGCTGAATTCATTCAGCAGATGGTGTCGTTGGTGCAGTAATGTAACTCAATTCTTTTTCTTTTACTCTTTGAAGTACTGTCACTGCTATTGCAGATAATAATAATGATACTACTACTACTAGTAATAATGCTACTAATACTGCTACTAATAATTTTAGAGGTCAAATAAGCTAAATGCGAGGCCGAGAGAGGATGTATGGAAAGTTGACTTAAGTTTGTGGTTTGTTAATCATTTGATGCATCTAAAATAAGTTTTGAGAAATATTGTCACGTCATATATATATATATATATATATATATATATATATATATATATATATATATATTTAAGCCTTTCACCCCAAGCAAGGCGGGAAGCCACTAGGACGCAAGGGGTTACAGAAAATTTATAGCAAGATCAGATGGGAGTAATAGAAGAAAGGATGAGGGTAGTGGATAGATCAAGGCAACTGGAGATGTCGATTGACATTACACTTGAATAGCTGGAGATTATAGCTCACAGGGAAACAGGAAAAGGGAATGGAGTTCCACAGGCGAGAGGTGCGAGACATGAAGCTATTGGAGTAGAAGAGACGGGTACATTTAGGAGTTTCGACAGTGAAGGGGTGAGAGCGGGATGCCAGCCTCGTATGGCGCTTGAACTCATGACGTCTGGGAACCAGCGAATGCAGCTCCTCGGAGCAATTTCCATGAAAGTATTTGTAGAACAGACAGAGGGAGGAGACGGCGCGTCTGTGAGAAAGTGACTGTATCTCTGTGTGTGTGTGTGTGTGTGTAAGTAGTAATTTGAATAAATGAATAAGTACTAAACTTTTTTTCAAATAAATCTTTTCACTATTCTTCGATTATGTTATTTTAAATACTTTGTTTCGATATTAGTTTTTTTTAAAAAGTATTTTCATTTTTTTAATTTAACTTTTTAAAATTTTCCTTTATTTGAATAAATGAATATTAACCTTTTTTTTATATAGTTTTATTCAACATTCTTTGGTTAATTTAAATTTTTTACGAAGTTATATTGAATTATGAATTAATTTTGTCGTTGATACAATTCGGATTTAAATACAAAAGGAATATCTAACATTAGCTAAAAAGTCTTTATCAGTTTTATTGCATTTTTCAACTTCTTATTTATGTAAATTAGGCTTCTCAACCCAAAATAACGCAAAAAATAAGGAGCGAGAAAGACTACGCCCAACTAAGGAAGAATTGAGTGTCTGCTTATCGCAAATTCGATCAAACATTGAAGAAATCGCGATAAAACACCAGGCATATGTTTCAAACTAAGAAAGCTGTACAAATAGTTGAATAGAAACATTGAAATAAAGTAAGTTAATATTTGTGCGTGGATTAAAAAAAAATATCTATGGTTTTATTTACCTTTAAAAATTTTGCCGTAATATTTTCATTTGGGCCTAGGTGTGTCGTTGCTTAAAAAAGTTGAGAAACAATGCTCGAGTCACTTTCACTAAAAAAACTTCCTCCAGCCATGTCACCCGATTATCACTTAGGGGATAAAATAGCACTTTTTAGTTTTCATTGATGCAAGTTTATGCCTGTAGCGTATATCTGAAAAGCGTCTTTGACCACCACACCCTGGCCCATCTCCTGGCATACTGGCACGTGGTGGCATACTGGCACGTCTGTTGAAAATCACTGGCCTAGAATAGTCCTGCAGCGAACAATCGATTCCTAAAATGTCCGCACTGGCACACATGGAACGAAAGTTTTTTTTTTAATATTATCAGAATTATTATTTCTGTGAGTTTTATTATTTCGTACCTAAATTATTTTTAAGCTTCGTTGAGTAGTTGAAATCACTTTCTGATTGATTAACAACAACGCTTAAAGACTTCCAGTAGTAGCAACAACTAAAATAGACTAGAAGGGAAAATAATGATATAGTAACACAATAGCGTGCAGAAGGTGGGGGGTCAGAGGGTTCGAGTCCCCGGACATTCCTATCCTTAGCGAATCCAATCAAAGAGTGAAATAAAAATGTAGCTTATATTTAATTGAATAAAGTGTTTATTTTATGTTTCATCTATTTTTACATATTTAAAATCGTCCTGGGTCTGAAAATAAACTACATCCCGCAGCAAGACCACTGATCAGGAGATTGGACATTTTGAGGAGGCTGCAATTACCCCTTAATTGCTGTTGTTCCCAGGTCTACCCTGACCAGAGGAGGTAGAACCTGTTAGGGTCCCAGGTATGGGAAAATAGTGAACTCCCAAACAAAAAGCAGTACATTTTTATAATAAAATGAGCAACAATACTTTTTTTATAGCAAAATTACAATCAATGCAACAGTAATATATATATATATATATATATATATATATATATATATTTGATATTAGTGGTCAATATATATATATATATATATATATATATATATATATATATATATATATATATACATACATATACATACATATATATATATATATATATATATATATATATATATATATATATGTAGGTATGACGAATTGGATTGTGATAACGATTCCAATGTAATAAATTATAACCATGGAATATTAGTGTTTGAGCCTTTTATATTATTATATTATATTATATTATATTTATATATATATATATATATATATATATATATATATATATATATATATATATATATATATATTTGTAGTAAAATTACCAATAATACATTTTATGATCTACAAACTATATATCTAAAAAACATATCTTTACTCGAAAAGTATGAAATTATGTACAAAATATATTCAGTTGAAGACATAAAAATGCATTCAAAATATTTAGATCTCGGTATTAAATAACCTATGGAGATTGTTATGCCGCGAAACAAAATCAATAAACATTTAAAATGTCTTCCTTTCGGGCATTTCTCAGTACTAGTTCTATAACCCCCCCCTTCTACTTGTGTCTTGGGGGAATACAATCAAGGAGTTATCCCTAGGCATCACCATACATCATCAAACCACTGCACGTCACCTTAAACAAAATGTTAGAACAGAAATTCTCAACGATACTGGTAAAGAACGACAACAATCAGTGGACTCGAGAAGCCTGTTTCTTGTAAAACTGTTTTAAGAAAAAGGTTTTACAAATTTAAATCGAAAGTCACGCTAACTTATCAATGAATGCCAAATGTTTCCTGCAAGGAAACGGTTGATCATGCCATTACAATTACCATCATACTGATACATTTTTCTTTTTCTTGATAAGTAAGAAATAATAACAACTCAATGCTAGTATTTAGTAGAGTATAGTTGTTAATTAGTTAATATATGTGTCTATATTTCTGAGATGAGATATTGTAACTATTTACACTATTTACATTGTTCGGACTGTTGTCCTCATCTTTATTGCCATATTCACGACGTTTCGGCCGTTATTTGCCCCGACCTTCTTCAGGTGATATACGTTGGAATTTCGAAACGAACCCTTTATTTAGTCCATGGGGGTAGATTGTTCTAGTTCCACGTGCCATGCGTTTTTCTGGATATCCCAGTTTTAAAATAATTCCATTTAGTAACTCAACTCTTCAAGTTTTTTTTTGTTTTCCTCTGAGGGGGTATTGAACTCACTATGCTGACTTTATAAATTTCTATCGTCATCATAACAGCAAAATACAATTCGGCATAATCATCGGATTCTACCTAAGAGCAAAAAGAATATGCAGTCCGGATTATTTACATGAAAAGGAGAAATGCATTGAACACACTTTCAAACTTCTCCAGAACATTAATTATTTTATGTTCAATGTGAAATAAAATGCCCATATAATATTCCAAAACAAAAACGGCTCCTCCTGAGAAACCAATGATTAAAAAAGTATTATCCTGATTACTAATTCTACCACATCTACAATTGAAAATAATCTACCTAAACTTGACATAAGATTTGTTACTACTATATCCAAAACAATAAAGACTTAGTCAATAACTAAAGAAACAATAAGCTAAAACCTGAAGGGTGTGTTTACTCTGACGCATGTAATAACAGTCACAAAAATACATAGGTGAAACCTTAAGGAAACTAAATAAAAGTTTATATGAACATAAAAGGGACATTTTACAAAAGAACACATCAAATGCATTGGCTGCACACCGTAACGAGACTACCCACAATTTTGACATAAAAATACTACTCTGATCAAAGGAGAAATAATTCATTATGACGTAAATGACTAGAGAGTGCCTTAATCGCAAGGTCATCTGCAGTAAATTTGTGTCTTGGCTCTTACAAAATTTCACCATTCCTGGCAGATCATCTAATATCACAGCGTGGAAGACCTGCTTACAAAAGTGATAGAAAGAAAAAGCAAAAATCTATAAATGATTTCGGCTCGAAAAAAGAATCTAAAATTTGCCATCACCCCTCTGTCGTGCGCATGTGCAGTCGTACCAACATAACAAATTTCGTCCGATGAAGTCCTAAAGGACGAAATGCGTCACAGACAAACATTTTCCACTTTGTCATAATATATATATATATATATATATATATATATATATATATATATATATATATATATAGAGAGAGAGAGTGCAGGTAATAAATCCGTAGGTATATAATCCAGGTGGATCCTAATATTA